TCATCGTCGTCCTCCTCCTCCTCCTCTTCTTTGTACTCCTCGTCCTCCGGCTCTTCCCCCTCCTCCTTTTCTCTGTACTCTGCCTTCTTTCAATCGATCAATCGTTCAATCCGAATCCAATCAATAGATTGGATTGGATCTTGAAAATCCAATTGATCGATTGAATTTTCAAGATTGGATTCGATTTGAATGATTGATTGATTGATTGATATAAAAAGGAGGGTGGGAGGAACAGTGGAAATCGGACTTCCACCGTTCCTCCCGCCCTTTTTTTTTTTTTTTTAATCAAGCATTTTCCCAAACTTGCACCGCCCCTCCTCCTCTTAACCCTTCTCTTCTTCTTCGTCCTCATCCTCCTCCTCTTCTTCGTCGTCGTCATCCTCCTCTTTCTCCTCTTTCTCCTTCTCCCCCTCCTCCTCCTCATCTTCTCCTCCTCCATCTCCTCCGCCTTCTCCTTCTCCACCTAGTCCTCCTAGTCCTTCTCTTTCTCCTCCTCCTCCTCCTCCTCCTCCTCCTCCTCCTCCTCCTTCTTCTCCTCATCTTCTTTCTCCTCCTAGTCCTTCACCTCCTCCTCCTCGGCGCCGTCCATCGCTGCCATTGACCTCCTCCTCGTCCTCCCCGTCCTCCTCTTCTTCATCTTCATCGTCGTCTTCCTCCTCCTCCTTGTCCTTATCCTCTTCTTCTTCATCCTCCTCCTCATCCTCCTCCTCGTCTTCTTATTCTTGCTCGTCATCGTCGTCCTCCTCCTCCTCCTCTTCTACTTCCTCCTCCTCCTCCTCCTCCTCCTCCTCCTCCTCCTCCTCTTATTCTTGGCCATCGTCGTCCTCCTTCTCCTCCTCCTCTTCTTTGTACTTCTCGTCCTCTGGCTCCCCCCCGTCCTCCTCCTCTTCTCTGTACTCCTCTTCCTCCGCCTGCTTTCAATCAATCAATCAATCAATCAATCAATCAATCAATCAATCAATCAATCAGTCAATCAATCAATCAATCAATCAATCAATTAACCAATCATTCAATCTGAATCCAACCTATTGATTGGATTCGATTTGAACGATTGATTGGTTGGTTGGTTGGTTGGTTGGTTGGTTGGTTGGTTGGTTGATTGATTGATTGATAACAAATAAAAAAAAGGGTGGGAGGAACAGTGGAAGTCGGACTTCCACCGTTCCTCCCGCCCTTTTTTTTTTTTATTCAAGAATTTTCTCCAACTTGCACCGCCCCTCCTCCTTTTAACCCTTCTCTTCTTCTTCGTCGTCGTCGTCCTCCTCTTCTTCTTCTTCATCCTCCTCCTCCTTCTCCTCCTTCTTCTTCTCCTCCTACTCCTCCTTCTCCTCATCATCTTCTCCTCCTCCATCCCCTCCTCTTTCTCCTTCTCCTTCTCCTCATAGTCCTCCTAGTCCTTCTCCTCCTTCTCCTCCTTCTCCTCCTCCTTCTCCTCCTTCTCCTTCTCCTCCTCCTCCTTCTCCTCATCTTCTTGCTCCTCCTAGTCCTTTGACTCCTCTTCGGCGTCGTCCATCGCTGTCGTTGTCCTTCTCCTCTTCCTCGTCCTCTTCTTCATGTTCATCGCCGTCCTCCTCCTCGTCCTTATCCTTGTCCTCCTCTTCTTCCTCATTCTCCTCCTCCTCCTCCTCGTCTTCTTATTCTTGGTCGTTGTTGTCCTCCTCCTCCTCTTCTCTGTA